TCCGAGTCCACAATTTGCTTGTGCGTCCTTAAGGAATTTTAACCCCCTCACACGTTGCCAAGGTAATGGATTAAATCCTCCCAGGATGAAACTGAATAAACCTTCCTACAACAGTGGCAATACAAACTGCAGGATACCAACGAACTCAAAGAACGGAGCAAAATCACGCTTCCAAATTTGAGAGAGAGAGACTGCGAATTAGAATGCAGTATTTTCAGAAAGAAGAAAGTTCTCTAATGTTTTTGGCATCTCAAAACCGAAGCCATGCCTCAGAATTTATAGGCAATTATTGGAAGAGGTGTGATGTTTGTTTTGGAAAAAGTGCCTTTTCAGAAGTTTACGCCGTCTGCCGCGGTCCTACAGCGGTTACGCCAGGACCGCGGCCAGAGTGGCCCTCTGAATCTGCAGAAGGGTTCTGGCGCGGTCCTACCGCGGTTACGCCAGGATCGCGGCCAGACTATACTTTCTGAATCTTCAGCAGTGATCTGACATTTAATTAATTATTAAATAATTAATTAAATAAATTTTATCCAAAAAAAATCTTATCGATCGTTTTCCAAATCCAAATCCAAATCCAAAGCCAAAGCCAAAGCCGAAGCCGAGCCGAGCGAGCGACGACGGCGCGAGGGTTCATTCTCTTCAACTCCTTTTAAGAGCTCTAAGAAGTGATCCCGTATTTATACACACAAGTGTAGTTGTCTTTCACCAATGTGGTACAAAGTTCATGACAAAAGCTCACTTGATTCAAATTTTCATTTCCCTCCATTTTATTTCCCACAAATTCCCAATTCACACTCTTAGACTTTAAAGCTCAACGCTTAAAGTCTTTAAAGCCCAATGCTTAAAGTCCAACAATCCCCCACATGAATGGGAATGGCTGTAACAAGAATGATCATCGATGAAAGTTGTGTGATTTGCAAGTAAGGATTAATTGCATCTGGATAAGTAGGTTTCCCTTTGAACTTTCCGTAGTGAGCATATGTCGGATATACTCGGTCAATCGGTAGATTTGATATTTTTGAACCGTCGAACTTTAGTGTATACCTAGACAACCATATGTCACACAATCAACCCTTAACCGTCTTTTGGTTCTCATTGTTGTGTTCGTTTCAGCCATGAACACCTCCCGGTTTCATAAGTGCGTAGAGAATTGGCCTTACAGAATTCTCATTGAAGCGGCTTCCACTTTACACTTACATAGGTGATTCCTAAACATGTAATCCTCTAGATTGACACAATTTGATAAATACCACATCAAACTTAGGTAATCATTAAAGAACGTGTAAAGTTCTATCCTTGTTNAATGCCATTGCTTAGGTGCTTGTTTTAGTCTATAAAGGGACTTAACAAGTCGACACACCTTCTTTTCTTTTTCCGGAACCACAAACCCTTCAGGTTGGTTCATGTAAATTTCTTCCTCTAGATCACCATT